GGTTTTTCTTGGTTCAGCGGAGTTCGCTGGTCTCGGAGCAGTGCAGGGGGAGAGAAAGGATTTTGCTGGTGGTTTGGATTTCGCCGGAGGCGGGGATAGTAGTGGCTGTGGTAGCATTTCACCGGCCAATCGAGCAACAGAGAGAGGGTAAACTGAAAAATAAACTAAAGGACCTATAAATAAATTAGAAAAACATTCTAATTTGGGAGTTCAATTGGATTTAATGTAAAACCAATTTGATTTTATTTTTCAAATTTGATCCAAATCCCTCTTTTGGGTGATATAAATACATGTCATTTTATCTTTAATTGATTTGATTGATTTTTAGAAGTTTTTTATATGAGAGTTTAAAAGTTTGTGTGAAATCAACAATAATGAATCCGATGAAGATGGTAGTGGAAATGACGGCTTAGAGATGGTGAATGGTGGAGGAATTTGGTCTTTCTTGCTATGGAGAAGAAAGATAATAAATAAGAAAAAAGAACATATATTTGTAAAAAGAGATATTAAAAATAAAGTTTTAATATTTGTTTTTTGTGCTCACTCTAGAGAGTGAAATACACTCATTTTGCCAGCTAAGCATTCAGTGAGGTAAAAATTTCAATTTTAAACACTACAGGGGGTGATAGGACTCTCGTGAAGTTAAAGTGTGTAGTTGGAAATTTGAGTATAGATCGAAGGGGCTTTTGACTATTTTCTCTATATTTTTTGCAAAAGAATCAAACCAGTGTGTAAAAAAAATAAAAGTAAACGAAACCATAGTGCTATTCATATACGTCAAAGGCTGTGGGTCGAGTTGTTTTTAAAAAATAATAAAACTATACATAACGCATGTAAAATGCAATCTAATTTTAGGAGCTTAGTCAATCTGATGAGTCGATGACCATAATAGAATTGGAAGTTGAATGCATGGTTCTACCTAAACTGCAATATAAGTTCATAATGAGAAATGAATCGAAGCGTATTAGATAACCTGCCAGGGCCGGCTCTATGTATACAAAAATAAGGCATTGGCCTTAGGCCCCCAATTTTAGGGGGCCTTAATTTTTTACCAAGAATAAATTATGTGTTAATTTTTTAAAGAAAAATATTAATTATTTATGATAAAAAGTATATATTTAAATTTATTATTTTATTTTCTTCAACCCCATTCAAATAGAAGAAATCAAGAAAATATTATTTTATTTTCTTACACTCTCTCTACTAATACTCACATTATTTTCTTTTTAACTCCTTTTACACTCTCTTCTTTAAATTGTTGATAAGTTAGAGTAATATTCTGTCAAAAATATCAATTAATAGTCGAAAAGTGTTGAACAAATTGAATTGTAAATTCTTTTTCCATTTCTTCTTAGATTTTCAAGCATTACAACAACCATAGTAAAATGTGGGGTAACCAAATTATCAACTTCATCAAAGCTATGGTTATAACTCTTATATTTATTTGAAATTTGTCAACTTATTACTTGTAGAACTATGTTAACAATTCATATAATGATTGCCCGAGTAAAATAATATTTTTCAACGTTGAATTAATAAAATCTTATTTAAAACTAATAATTGAAAAAGAAATCGAATAAATCATTTATATATAAAAAAATATTAGGTAATACTTTGCATTTAAAAATGTAAGAAAAATAAATTTTAAATAAATGCAAGTGAAGTTTATTTAGATTTTAGGCCTCTAATTAAGATTTTGCTTTAGGCCTCCGATTACGTTGAGCCGCCCCTGTAACCTGCTTTAGTTTTTTGTTCACTTTCATTTCTTTTATAATATAAGGGCATATAATGAATGTTACACGTACTAAAAATGACTAAGAAGTAAGAAAATTAAAATAGAAAACAAAGCCTTTTTTGACAAGTATTATATGTTAATCCAAACTAAAAAGGAATTAGTAGTATAGTGGGCAAACTTCAAGAGAAAACAAGTCAGAAGGAACATGTAACAGTCTCTTATATAGAAGTTAATTAAGGAGATCTAAGGAAATCGTAGCCTTAACAACTGCAAGAAAATCAACTGTTAATATAGGAATTACGATGGCCCACATTGTTTCAAACATGAGATGCATTAACTTAAAACTTGACTAAGAGTTACATACTTAGCCTGCATATACAACTAAAAGCATACACAACTCAGTAGAAAGTATTTCCAACGGTAGCACGTATGGAAGAGCTGCCTGGTAGATAAATCAGTGAAATGACTCACCAAAAGAGAAGCCAACGAGCTGCAAAATTATTGCACAAGAGAGTCCCAGTAACATTATTTTATTCGCTTTCCTTGGGCTTTGGGATTTTCTTATATTCATAATCATTAATATGAACCTTCTCTTGCAAAGCCTGCAAAGGAATTCAAAGTAAGCTTTAGAAAGGAATTCAACACATGCATACACACAAATAATGACACTATTTGTACCTTTACTTCTTCCTCCAAGTTCATTTTTTGGGGGTTATATGCATTGATAGGTCCAAACCGGGAAAGTGCTTTTCTTGTTTCGATGATTTCCCACTCTTGATCATCCTTTACTTTAGCTATATCCTTGCTGAACTACAAAAATTTGCACCACTCAGTCTTAAGCCAAGGGGAAAAAAAATAGGACAATGTCTGAAAACCCCACACTACTTATGGCAGGAGAAAACTATCACAAGAAAACAAAAAGATCACCAAAATGTCAAAATTTTCACTATCTAGAAGCTACACTGCTTAGGAGTGGGCATGAACCACATAAATACACCCAGTGGAAGAAGGGGGGGGGGGGGGACAACATATTTTAATGCCTAGCCCTCATATTGAGGGTAAGACTCAGGCCGACTGAAATAGCTCATAAAATTTATGGTTTTCACTTCAGGTACCGAAATGCACTCTAGCAGGATGCCAATAGTTAGTAGACTAACTATATATAGTAAGTTATTATTGCATTACCAATACACATATAAGTATCATTTTCCCCATAATGATCCAAAAAGATAATGAGTCAATAACATTAGAGTGCGAGAAGTCAAAAGCACAATGATTATAAACAAGAAGATAAAAATGGCATGTAGGTATCAACAAGGTAAATGAAAATCTCCTCCTGAATAATTGTTACTTTTCTTGAGCTATCAATATCTTTAGAGCCTTGAATTGCCTTGAATACACTTCATTTCGAATTTATCATTTTTTCTTGCCGAAAAAAGTAACAATGTTAAACAACAAAAAACAGTGTCCTTGACAACTCTTACAAGGACTTGACTGCTACATAGGAGCTTGAGGTATCCAAGACCCATTATCGATTAACATGTAAAGGTCGTTCCTTGCTGACTTCCTCTACATATGAACTCAGATGTTTAAAAACTTACTGTTAACTAATCAAAATATAAAAACTACTACTACGTATTAGTTACTACCGAGGAAGCAACAATCATGAAAGATTCGAAAAGCCAGAAAAATGCATCAAAAGGAACATCAAAGAACAATTTAACTAATATACACAACAACAAGTAAATCAGAACCAAACTAAGATCGAGTTCCGAGCTCACAACATCAGATAGTCATATAAGGACCAAGTGTAAATAAGGACAATTACATAAATTGATAAACCTAGGGAAAGGTGAACAATTATTAGCAGTAGGATTTTCGGAACTGTTCCAACAAAATGGCTGAAAATGCAGTCACTTTGTAAGTGTTAAGCAAACATCAATTGAGTAATTTGACATTAAGTATAACTAACCTGCCTTGCAGAAGTTGGCTAAGACCAATTGATCCAAGCACCGTTAGTGAGATCATAGGAAGTCCATATCTCATAAACGATGATTTCCTGCCCAATCTTGTGAATGAGGAAGCTGGGTTTTGAACGCTGGAAGCAGAGGAGGCTGCTCGGTTATTAATTAGCTTTATTAGGCTGATTCATTATAGTCTGGATAGTTGTCATGGAGTCAGTAGGTCACTGTAACAACTTCAGCTAACTTTCCAATAGCAGTTAGTAGTGGAAGGAGTATTAGTTAATATAGGAGATGCGGAAGGAGTGAATTGCAAATAATAAAGGGCCTGGATTAAAAGTAGCTAAATGAAGTTCAACGTCTGAGATTAGTCGAGAGGCTATCATATACACGTTGAGGGAAAGAGTGGAGACGTGAAAAGAAACTGGTATCCTACAATTCTCAACTTCTTCCTTGCCTCTTCTCTCTTCTTTTCAACTCCGTTCTAATCCTGTCTTCTTCTTCTTTCGTTTCAGATTGAGATCAAGGAACTTCATCTAGGCTATATTTATTTAGTTCTGTTTCAGTTCTGTAATTTAACTCAGTGTATTGTTAGATTGTTAGTTTCAATTTCAGATAATCGAAAATTGTTCCACAAACATTGACTGCGTTCTAGTTTAGTTACTTTTCTATTGAATTTCGAGTTAAATTCATAATTACAACTGAAATGATCTAATTCCTTTATAACACAGGAATGGATCTTACAACTTAGAATGCAAAACAATAATCTCATATAATCAACTAAGGACTGCAGTAGATCACTCGATAAGGTCCCTTGCTAAGTATGAGAATATTTTTCTTGAGAGACTGAGTTTTGCTTGTGAAATTCTGGAATGCAAAAACTAGATTTTGTCCCTTGTCAAACTGACTAATATAAGATGAACAAACAACCTTAGCCAAGGGCTTTGTTCCTCTATAGTCGCGCGCCAACCACTGCAGTTGTACTAGTGGTGGCAGCCTTACATGTTGTCCTTTTCATTATGTCTGGAGCTCTCAGTCTTTCATGGGATCATGTCCCTTATTACCAGATCCCACAGTTTGTTAAATCATCAAAAACTTCAGAATATAACATGGGAGTCAATGGTGAATAGTTATTGAGAGTTAAATAAATTACATTAAGTGGACATCCACGTAATAAAATAAAAATATTCACGACATGGGAAGATTAGAAGTCAATAAGCAGTCTTTCATTTATATGAAGTTACACACTTATTCAAGCAACGAAAAACATCAATTATTCGATCCATACCAGATAATCTACACTTTTAAAATACATAAAAATTAGAAGATAAACGAGGCGTAACTAGAACTTCCACTTCATTTACCTTAGGCAAGGTAATGCCTACGCCTTCTGTCATATCTATTGGCATATTCAATGATTTACTAAAATCAAAACCTTGAAGCAGCCGAGCAAATGTCAAATGTGTTACTAAGGTTGCAAAATTTATCCCTGGACACGATCGTCTACCAGATCCAAATGGAATGAATTCAAAATGCTGACCACGAGCATCTACACTTGCTTTGCTTGTCAAAAATCTCTCAGGCATGAATTTTTCAGGTTCTGAACAAATTTTAGGATCGCGATGTATTTTCCAGGCATTGATATATAAACGAGTACCCTTTGGAATGTCGTAACCAGCCACTTTACAATCTTGCACTGCTTCGTGTGGCAATAATAAAGGAACAGGTGGATACAAACGTAATGTTTCTTTAACGATAGCCTGAAGGTACACTAAATTTTTTACGTCACTTTCTTCAACCCATCGCGCTTTACCCACTTTTGCATCTATCTCTTCTTGGGCTTGTTTCATAGCATGTGGATTATTCAGTAATAAGGACATTATCCATATCATATGAACAGCTGTTGTGTCTGAGCCATCCAAGATCAAACTCTATACATACATATATATATATATATATACATATATATATATATATATATATATATATATATATATATATATATATTATTTAATTTGCTATAATCAGGAAATTAATAAATGATGATTACAATGACATACGAGTATATATTTAAGATCACAAGTACCAAAACACTTAATTTTAGTCTTAAATTCTATGTCGTTTAAATAGGTTCCGACTGAAATTACTCCCGGTGCTCACATTTACTCTTCCAATTTAGAATTTTCCCATTTTCTAAAAAATAATGATTGACTTTATTTTATTACAATACTCTTATTCATTACTCATCCCGTTTCAATTTATGTGACACTTTTCGGATTTCGAGATCAAACAAGTTTATTTTTTATTATAAAATTTTCATATATCTTTTAAATATTTTGAATTGTCAATTATTATGACTTATAGTACTTTTTACGTAGTTTACAAGTATATAAATTTCATTTCCAAAAATTGATGATTCCATGCGCAAATTCTCGATAAAACTTAAATTGTTTGACTCTTGAAAAATGAAAAGTGACACTTAAATTGAGACAAAGGTAATAATTGATATTTAGTTAGGTATTAAAAAATAATTTAGAAAATAAGTAACTAATGCTTAGGATAACTCATGAAAATAAATCTAAAAATGAACAAATAATAATAAAAAATATTTTTAATATAACAGACAAGTAAAAGTGAACGGAGTAGACGAGAATGGCAACATAAACATACCAAGACAGTTGACTTGATGACAGTGGCCTGAGAATACCCATAGGCTTTGAATTCATCAATATCTGTGGCCCTAAGCATAGCATCTATGGCATCTTCATCATCATTGTTCACATCCTTTTTCTTCATATGATCCTCCAACCAACCTTGAAGAATAGAATCCAAATCCTTATAGATATTTTTCATCAATTTTATATGCCCTTGAAAATCAAAATATTTGAATAATGGAAATGGCACTACATCATACAAAACAATTTGTCCTACAACATACATGATCCCCTTAAAAGCCTCCCTAAAACGTTTTGCCTCCTCATCCTCCTCTATATTGTTGTATCTTTTCCCACATATGGTCTTCACAATTGTGTTTAAAGTCAATTGATGAAACCATTGAGTTATATTGATCACTTCATTATTCTTATTTGTTACTTGTGTCAAAGAATGCAAGTCTTTGATGCTATTTTCCAATTCAACAACACGGATGTGCATCATCTTTTCCAATTTAGTACTCGAGAGTACTTGTGTCAAGGCTAGCTTGCGCACATGATTATAATAAGGACCAAAATTAGAATAAGTGAACCTTGCGTACTTGTAACCAATGCTTTGGCCAGCCATGGAGGTTGGTCGAGCCGCGAAATCTTTATCATGAGTAGTGAGACAATCCTTAGCTCCTTCCCAATTATTGATTATCAAGTAAGGATACATCCCCATTCTCAATGTGAAAATAGGTCCATATTTATCGGCTAACGCGGCCAATGTATGAGCAAATGGGACATTTTTATCAATATCACTTAGTTGACGGAGATGGCCTATAATAGGCCATGCTCCGGGGACTTGAGGGGCTAAAATTTTGGTAGTGAGTGTGTTTGATCTTCTCCATAAGATTATGGCCAAGAATACAAAGGCTAAAACCCCTAAAATAGCTTCTAAATGATATTCCATTACCAACTCAAAAAAAGGAGGTATATTGCAAGAGATTGTTAAAAGGTACGTTTGGTTGGTGAAATAGGATAGATAAAAATATTTTATGATATCATTGGATATTATATTCCATTATTTATAGTAAAATAATGGAATAAAATAATTTTGGGACTAAATATAGTACTCTTTGCATTTCAAAACAAATGATTTGTTTTTATTTTTAGTTGGTTTAAAAAAGAATGATTTTTTTTTGCAACATTTTAATTTCAGGATGTTTAAAGTTGTAAGATTAAAGAGTATTTTAATACATTTATTATAACTTTAATTTAGAATCACAAAATTTAATTTTTCTTTTTTTTACTTAAATTTTATATCAAATCAAATTCGATCAGCTTTTTGGAAATAGAAAAATGAGGTGTATGTGTAATAATAATTATTATAAAAACGAATAAACCAATCTCATGACATGTGATATTATTATTATCCTTGTGGACGTTTTTGTCCGTGACCACTCTGATTTTGACAATTATGAAGAATCTACAAGGAATATTGGGTGATGTGGGTGCAGTGATATTGAATAGTGTAAAGATTAATTTATATTCCTCTCAATTTAACTTATATATGATGAAAATAAATTTATTTAAATATATTCATACACAATATTGTGGCAATCAATCTATTTAGGCCCACAATATTTTTTAATTGACAATCAATAGGGATGGGGTGGAGGCGGATTGAGCTTAATCTCCAAGAATTTTAATCCCCCCGCATAATGATTTTTTCATTTTCAACCCGTCTCACCCCATTTCGCATAAATCTGTCTCGCATAAATTTTTTAATATTTTTCTTTTCTAGTTAAGTTTGATATTAAAAATAAAATTCATAAAAATAAATTCATTTTTTCATTAAGTTGTATTAATTTAATAGATATCACTTAAATTTTTATTTTTAGAGGTCAATTAGAAAGCATGTAAGAAATTATATTAGTTTTGATTGAACCATTTTCATTTACTATCTTGAATATTTTAGTAACTTTAAAGAAACTATCTTAATAGATAATGTTCTATCACTCTTATAACATGAAAAAAGCCTAAAAAATAAGTTTGAACCCGCATAAAAACACATAGACCCACGACCTGCACCACCCCGCATTAGTTTTTTAAAAACCACTTCACCCGTCCCGTGTCCCTCGCTGCCCCACATTAGTTTTTTAACAAACCACTTCGCCCGTTCTGCCCTGCATCCCTCGCCACCCCACATAGCCTTAAATTTGTCATGTCTCACATAGTCTTAAACCCGCTCCGCTCCGCCCCACATCCGTTCCGCCCCACTGTCACCCCTAACAACCAATGAATATGCATAAGAAGACGTGATTGTAGATAATAAGAAAGCAATGACTGTTTGCCAAATTCGTGTGACTAAAGTAAGTTCTGCAAAGTGATGGTCTATTCAATATTATTATATAAGATATTTGTCAGTCAAGAATGCTATTGTAGGTAGAGGTATGTATCGGTCGGTTCGATTCGATTTTATGTACTCTCGGTTCAATTTATTGATTTTCGATTTTTAAATATGCTAAAATCAATAAGATATTCTTATCGATTTTCAATTTATAGATTTTGGTCTTTCACGGTTCGATTTTCAATTTAACCAAGAAGAAAATGCTTATAAAATAAATATATGACTTCTCTAATGAAACTTTACAAATGTTTATAATAGAAATAATAATAACTAATAGGAAAAGATCTATACAAGTGTATCACAAAGAAAAATTAAGAAAAATATGGCTTTTAGTTGACCGAGAAAATAATTTTTGATATAAGGGTACGCATGTTGAGGATTAGGTTAGTAGTGTTGTACTTCTTATAGTATGATTTAGGTATCGTGTAGTTTCTTTTTTTTAATGTGTATTAATATCTGCTGCTACACTTGTTTTGTACATTATTATTTTGTTTTTATTCTTTCTTTTTTACTTTCCGATGTCTATGAGGGTTATCGAAAATAACTTGTAGTATTTCAATCATAAATACTAGTTTAGGAGACTTATTAATTTCTCCATAGAGAAAGTAGATCTGCAGCCAACCACGACTCGTGTCATCTGTCGTCGGGAATTCTCAAAAAGAGGATAGACTCCCTTTGTCTACAATCTACATATCCTTTAGGGATTACGAGCATTTTCTCTATTAACACTAGTCATCATTTAATATGCAACACAACAATAAGCTCAAGTAGGTGATGCACCTACTTGGTCCTTTGGACTGGTCAATAAGTCAAAGTAGGTGATGCACCTACTTGTCACCTACTAGCTTAGTTAAGTCAAGAAAGCAGCTCACTTATTTTATTCCATTTTCTAAATATTAATCCCATTTGCTTTAACTTAGCACTTAACTTTCAACTTTAAGTTCAATTACCACATTATTGTCTCGAGTTTAAATACTTCCGTTGAAGTTAACTTGCAGTACACATGCTGAAACGTGCAAGACATCACATAACCTTTCGAGCTAGTTTAAACCAACACTAATCATATAAGAAACACGGTCCCTCACCTATACTATAAGGTCATGTCAAGTATCACAAGAATAGAACATGCATATGCATAATACGAACTGTTACATATGCTTTCACTTGCTCATGCTTTGATGGATATTTGAACGAGGTGTCGTTGTTCGTATTTTTAACTATTTCTTTTTCTTCTGAAAAACATCAATCACTACATGCATCCATAGAAAAATTGTCAATTTTGGGGAGCTTCTCGCCCTTTTGACTTCTTCGTATATATTGAGAGAAATATGATGATCTTGTGGCTTTATTATAGACCTGCATCCATAGAAAAAATGTTAGTTTTGAAAACAAACTGATCTATGTTGACTTCTTCGATTGCTTTGTCCTTAAGTTCCTATCTTCGATTGATCGCTCCGATCTCTCGCTTCTTGATAGACTTAAGATTAAATTATACACAATATTTTACATATTAAAAATCTATTAGAAAAAAGACATTTTTGATAATCAATTTGGAAAAGGTCATGTCAGCTTAAATGAACGTCCTTGGTTTGAAACTTTGGCGTGTCCGATAGCTTGTTCTGGAGAATTCAAAAGATCTTTAAAGCTTAGAAAGTTTCTGACATGGTCCTGCTGAAACCTACTATAATTGAAAAAATTTACAATTGAATCTGAACTTCAACAGTGTCAAAGATTGCTAAAGTTGACTATAAATTTTAATGATGCTAGAGATCATTTGAAGTTAGATTTAAACTTCTAATCATGCTTGAAATGTTCGAAATTTACTACAAACTTATAGTGATGCTTGAAGAAAATTTTAATGCCATCCTCAAAAATATCTGTCCTAGTTAGAAGTCTTGGCTTATCTCGAACTATTGATATATGACTTGTAGAATTTTTTAGACCTTCTCAAAAATTCTGTCCCAGTTGCAACTCGCAATATATCTTCAGCTTTGAATCGTTGGGGAAAATGTTTTCCTCTTTAGAATTTTTGAGTCCCTCTCAAAATTTTCGTCCCAGTTTCCATTATTAAGAGAAATGGAAATCTCACTGGGATATGACCAACCCGTTGTGGCGCATACGTATCCCGTTGAGGTAGGAATCAGATCAAACATAGTTCCCCTCTCGAGGATTAACAAAAATAGAAAAAAATGATAGGGAACCGACCGAGGCCGACATAGGCCTACATATCTCATTCTTGAGAATTCATATAATTTAATATTGATTGGGCTAGCTTATATTTGTGTTAATATGATGTGTGATTCATGTGGGTTGCTTAATTGTAGCTAATTGCATAGTGTCCATGAACTCAAATAGTTGATTTCGTGCCTAAACTTACTAAAATTGATTGTGAAGGTTAAAAATTGAAAATGAATTGTTGAATGGTATGGGTTTAGGTTGAATTTTTCTTGGGTGAAGTTTGATTAATCCAGTGTTTTTCATTTGACTTGTATTTTCCCAATGACAAATAGGGCGACGTTTTCTTAAGGGAAAATCGTCGAATTGGTAATGCTTTGTTAAAATTTGGTGAAAATTTGAGTATCCAGGGGTAAATTGGCATATGGGTAGCTTGTTAACTTGTTTAGATGTTGGGTAGTGTTACATTTTAGATTTTTAATTTTGAAAATTTGGCATTAGGCTGAAATAACCTATTATGGGAGCTTGTCTTAGCTCGCAAAGGTAATTAGGTGAATCGATGAGTAAACCCCAGTCACCCTTTAATTTCAAATTTGTGACTTGGGTACTGTCACTTTCGTTGGGCTTGTCTTAGCTCACCAAAACCAACTCGGTGAATCACTGAGTTGGATCTGGCATCGCCCATTGTGCTTGTCCTTGAACTGTTTGCACTGTCACTTTCGTTGGCTATGTCAACTCCAACTCGACGGATCATTGAGTTGGAGTTGACATAGCCCATTATACCTAAGTAATTTTTTTTTTTTCATGTCATCTTCGGCTAGCTCGTCTGAACTCACCTAACCTATTAGGTGAATCGCCTTCCCATTCGGCGAAGCTTAGTAACTTGTCTTAATTGTGCTTATTTGTGCTATTATTTTCAAGTAACCTTTATTCGATACTTGTTTTGAATTATTTGCTTTACAGGAAATGTCAAAAACCAAGTTCCCAGCCTCTTCAAGGGTTGTCTCTTTAGACTCTGAGTCCGACCATGAATGCCCTTTTCCTCCTATTAAAAGGCACAAAGAAGAGGTGATAAATGAACCCTTTGGCCAACACATGTCACTCCACACACCTCTATGCACGTGAGTAAAAAATAGAAAAAGTTTGTGGAGGCGACACCTAGGAAAATGAATGCAATCCATTCCAAGTTGCCGCGATATCCGGTTTAACATACTTTAAAGTTGCTCCCGATGATAGCTCCAAGGGCCCACAACAGGCTCAAAGTAGCAGGGAAGCTAACAATACTAGAGGAAAGAAGGTTGTCAACGGATGGAGTTGCTAGTGACTACCCAGTCATATGGGATACAATAAAATTCCACGAATTTGATTCATTCACAAAAGCTCGACCCCATATGTCCCGCTGTGGGTTTGAGAGTTATACGTTGCCTATGCAAA